ACTCATCCACTCATTCACCTTCCTTCACTTATCAAGCATTTGTAGAGGTCCCTCTGTATGCCAAGCTGAGGGGTGTTGTGGGAGAAGAAAAAGAAAGCCCTGTTACACAGGTGAGAAACACTGGGTCCCTTTATCTGAAGGACTTAAGACTAATAGGGAGAAATAGGCAGACAGCAGAAGCGCCAATAAAGGGATAAGCTAAATAGTGTGGGGCAACCCAGAGGAGCAGCTAACTTCCAGGGGGAGGGCACAGGGTCCCAGAAGGTGGCGTGAAAGCAGGATTGAACACTAGTTGAGTGATATCTCAATAGCCTGAGCAGGCAGGTCCTGCCTAAGGAATGGCAAGGGGACTGCTTTGGTTAGAACAGAAGGCTTATGGAGGACACGGAAAGGAAGGAGGCTGCGACCAGACCAGCGAGGCCCTGAGAGCAAGGTGAAGGCTTATCAACCTGATTTTGTCAGTAGTGGGCAGCCATGGCCAGCTTTTCAGGAGGACAGGTAATTTCTTAGGGTCCCACCACCTCTCTCACAGTGCATGAACAAGTAAGAGTCTAGGAGCCATAGAAAAGTGGGGAGTGGTCGGCAAGTTGAGGGGCTTTACCTGGTGAGGTCTCTGGGCGACTTTTGCCTTCTTTGCTATAAAATCCAGAAAGATTGTTGTTTGTTTACAAAGTTAAGTTTAACCAGACATGCTGTCTCCCCATTCAGAGCCAGGGCCATGAGAGGGCAGAAACCAGGCCTTCATTAGCCATTTGTTTTCAGGGTGTCAGTACTGGGTCTTCCACACCTAGCAGGCTCCTGGAATGCATCTGGTAGGGTCTGTGCAGTGGAGATTTAGGAACAGCAAACAGGGACAAGGGACAAGGAATTCGCCTCCACTCCCATCCCCCAACATAACATGGAAAACAGAGAGCACATAGTGCAACACATACGTGCTCCCTGAGCTCTAGTCTCTTTCTGTACCCTTCTCTCCCTGGTCCCCCTCCAACTGGGGTGGATCAAAATGAATTCTTAAGATGTCCAGAGACCTTGTTTCTGCACCTAACTTCCCCTCCAACTGAATGAGGTGCTGCAATTGAAGGGACATCCACAAGTTCCAAATTGCTTTATCCTGATAACTGTAAAGATCTGAAACAGTGGGAAAAAAATTTTTTTTTGGTCATGGGAACATGTTGTTTTACTAGTGAGACAAGGCTTCTGATTGCAGAACAAAGCAGAGAATTAACATAATTATCCTGTGGATTTCAGTCAGAGGTTGGTTTGGACCCTAAATTACTCTGGGACCCTCAGATGCCCTATTTTGTCTGGTAGTTCTCTGTGCTACAGGTAGGGAGGCTGTGATGCCAGTGTGGATAATAACAACTCTTGCTGAACTCCAATTGCTTACAGTGAGCTAGACGCTTTCCCAAGCATACCTCATTTGATGTTCACGGGGTGTCCTTCATTTGATGTTCACAGGGTGAGGGAAGTGGGTAGGTACCTTGATTTCCATATTCTAGAAAGAAAGAGAAATCATGACCCAAAGCACAGTACCTGGCGTCAGGCTGGCACTACTCAGTCAAATGTTAGGGCTTGCCAGACATCGTGACACACACCTGTAATCCCAGCACTTGAGAGAGTAAGGCAGGAGGATGGATCATCACAAGTTCAAGGCCAGCCTGGGCTACCTAGTGAGTTCAAGACCAATCTGGAGGGCTGGGGATTTAGCTCAGTGGCATAAGCGCCTGCCTGGCAAGCTCAAGGTCCTGAGTTCGATCCCCAGCCTGGACTACATAGTGAGACCTTGTCTCAGAAAACCAAAACACCAAGATTTAAAAATGTTAATGCTTGCTTGAGATGCTGCTGCTAGCTCTTCACAAGACAGGTCTGAGATCTGGCTCTCAGATCTCCCCCAAACAATCTGCTTTCCATTGTACCAAATTGCCTCTGCAAGTATCCCAGCCTGGGTCCATGGAAGAAACACTCAAGAAGAACAATCTACCCGGAAAATATTATTTTCTTTTTTTTTTTTAAATACTATTTTCGAAGTAGATGGAGGTGCTATGCCATATTGAAAAGAACTCTGGTTAGAGGCAGGACTACTGAGTCCTGGCAGAAGAACTAACTGGCCATGTGATCTTGAGCAAGCCACTCATAGAGGCCCAGAGACTCAGTTTCCTCAATTACAAAATCAACAGTTGTAGTGAGGTGAGAAACAAATGAAACAGCACAAGTGAAAGGACTCTGTAAACACACTCTGATGCTGTACAAAGGTAAGATATTATTATTATGGTTATGTTGTGGTACTAGCCTCAAATAAAATAATCATTAATATCTACATTCTTTACAAGGTTTCCCACAGCCTTCCCCACAGCTCCTTGGTTTCCCATCATCTCCTGTAGGGCAGGAAGCCTGGCCCCCAACAGGAAAGGGCTCAGAGAAGCTAGGACTTCAGTCAGGAAACAACCATCTTGCCCCAACCTTCATTTCGCCAGATAAATGATGCAGCCAAATGGTGAGACACCGACTGGTGCAAACTGAGGTGTCCAGGATGTTTCAGCTCAAACCAAAGGAGCCAAGTTGCCCTAAGGTCCTAGGACCTTAAGAGAGGTGGCAATTTAGTAATCACTAGATTAATTAAAATCAGCAAAAACAGTCAACTTAAATCAAAGCAGAATCGATGGGGTCTGCATTATCAGGCCTCACAGAGGCAATTTCCCCCTTAGTAATGCATTTTGAGTTCATGTGTTGATTAGCTTTAACACACCATTTCCAGATCTTCACTTTCCCTTGGTGCAATTTGGGCCAAGCATTTTTCAAAGGATGTGTATGGAGAGGGAGTGCATGGGAGGGTAGGTGTGGCCAGGTAAAGCTGTGAAGCGGTTCGCAAAGCAAAATACAATGACAATGGCTAGGGCTATGTCCATGTTGCTGGCAATAAATTTTGAGGCTGGCGAGGACAAGTAAGGGGGTGGGGTATAGAACAACAGAGCTCAGGCAACAGCAAATGTGCTGCAGCCTTAGGTGGTTCCTCCACTCAGGCACATCCCTCAGACCAGGTGATGGAGACATACCAGGCAAGTCTCAACTGCCATCTGTGAAGTCCTTCCAAAGGAGAGGGGACACCCCCTAGCTTAGAAATGGAACCTCTAAGCCAGGGGAAGGGAGGTAGGGAGGAGGAAGAGGAGGAGGAGGAAGACAGTAATCCCACAGGGCTTCCTTCTAGTTTATATGACCCTCTGGATTCCTTGGCACAGATAAATAAATAATAAATAACATCAATGTATCTGCACACGATTTTTTTCAAATTCCTGCTATTCTTTTCACATTCTGTTTACAAAGCAATGAATCCTCCAGGAACTGCCGGGCACCTCCCCTACTACCATCCAGGCAGAGGCTATGCCTTTGAAGTGCTCACCAAGGCTCCGGGTTGGAGCTGCTGAGGAACACCCTAAGACTGAAAGCAAGTCAGCCCTCAGCGTTAGCTTGTTCGCAGCTGCTCTTCTCAGAGTTAATGTAAAGTCATCAGAGTTAGAATGTGGACCGTAATCTTCTCAGCCCTTCAGTTCCAGAGATGGCCTGGGATGTAAACACACACTAGGATTTATTTCTTTGGCCAGGCGGGGAGTCATTAGGGTAAAGGGTAAGGGTCAAGGGGCTCAGATTGGTGGCTGATGAGCACGAGAAAGTAGAGCAGCAGCCCTGTCCCCTTGGAGCAGGGCTTTCGCCAACAGTAGTGCTGGCTTCCCCCTTTACAGACCTTTAGTCTCCCCGATTCCTTCTGCTCTTGGGTCTTTCTCCCGCTCAACCCCCCCCAACCCCAGATGCCTCCATGCCCAGGCAGGGCCTGCCCACTGACAGTGGCCCAAGGGATTTGCAGCGTGTGAGGTTGTCACGAAGGGTGGGCCGTCCCGGAGTCTCCAGGCAAGGCTGTGAGCCCCGGCATTTTCCCTTTTCCAGCACCTGTCCCACTTCGGCGCCGGGGCTGGGGCTGCGCCCGCGGACGACCTCAGTACTGGAGCGCCGCAACCACGCAACGAAGTCGCCCTGGGTGGGGAAGTGTAGGGCTGACGGAGGGGCGGGGCGTTCGGTGGGGGCGTCCAGCCTCAGCCGAGACCCCCGCCCTCCCATACAGACCGAGGCAAAACCGGGCGAGAGTCACACATAAAGCGGGAGCGCAACGCTCGCTCTGCGACCCCGAAAGGCATTGCAAGCTTCTCCCCCTTCCTGGAGCTAGGGGCTGGCCGGGAAGGTGGCTCCGTTCTTCCCCGTGGCCGGTGCGGGGTCTGCGGCTGCCGAGCGAGGTTCCGGCTTCCCCAGGGCTGGCAGGGGGAGCCCCGAGAACTGCAGGCCCGCCCCCCTTCCTCCTCCTTCTTCCCCTCCTCCCCCACGTGTCCGCCCGGAGCCCAGCGGCCCGATCCCAGCACCCCCCCTCCCGCGCCACCTCCCTCCTCCTCCCGCTTCGTCCGCTTTCCAGGCGGCGTGGAGAAGAGCAAAGTTGCGACAGCGGCCGGGGGGCTCTGCCCAGGTGAAGGGGGCGCTGTGAGCGGGGGTGGGAGGGGGGACGGCGTGGCCCTGCGGCGGTGGCGGTGGCGGGGGGAGGATAAAGAAACTTGCTTCCCGTGGCCCCCACCCCGCGCAGGTTCGGATCTTGCGTGATCCGAGCCCTCGTGGCGAGACGCGGCAACGCCACGGAGACCAAGGCCGGCACCAGGACCTGGACCCGGGCCGGGACCGCGCGCTTCGGTCGGATCGGCGGGTGCAGGCAGCTGGCCAGGCCGGCACCCCGGCAAGGGCGGGGTGGGTGGCCCTACACCGGACCGAACCAGGGACTCTCGTGTCGCGGGCGCGGGCCGAACCCGGACCGGGCCGAGTTGGGTGGTGAAGTAGGACGTGGATTCGGGGGCGGGGCGCGGCGGGAGTGGGAAACCAGGCCGGGCCGGACTGGCCTGGGCGTGGGGGCGGGGGGCGAGTTCGGGGCACTTGCTGGGCTCTGGACCGAGCAGTAGGGCGGGGCGGCGCTAGGGGCTGGGCCGGACCCGCGGGGAGAGGCGAGGGGAGGGGGAGCCGGGGGTGGAGTAGGGGCGTGGAGTTGCGAGCGGGGTCTGGCCTCGGCCGGGAGCGAAGGTAGATCGGCGGGGCCGCGAGCGGAGGGAGGGAGGCCCGCGGCGGCGCGGCGGCGGCGGCGAAGGCCAGCTTCCGCGGAGTTTGTGCCCAGGCTTCCCGGCCGGGTTCTGGCCGCCTCTCGCGCACAAATGGGGCTAGGGGACTGACTGGTAAGCAACTGCGAGTGTTAGACGGTGTTCGGTAGCGATTCCGGGAAAGGCGAGAAAAGACACCGTCTGCAATTATGCTGCACCCCCACCCACCTCTTAGCATCTGGATAATGTTCTCTGGGGGCCGCGGACCCTTCTCGTCACAATATTTTCACTCCCTAGCACCCCTATACACACTGACCCTTCTAGGGGTATGTGTTTAGGGGTGGAATGCGACGAGGGGGGGTATACTTTCCCTCCTTTGGGGACAGTGTAGTTCGCATTTTATTCCTACAGGGTAGCGTCTTGTCGAGTCGTGTGGACATTGGGGTTTCAATAATTTAGCTCCCCACCCAGCTATTTGATGGCTTGTAAGGAAAGGCACCAATCCTCGGATTTTCAAGGCTGGGATGGGGTTTAAAGATTGGGATTCGCCTCCAGCTCACTTCCATTACCGACCTCTCTTTACTGTGAGCCACTTCCATGGGGATCCAAACCTGGCGGTGGGGGGAGCGGGAGTATTAATATGCTTCTCTATTTCTACACAGGGTCGGCCTGGCGAAGGACAGCTAGCCTGAGAGGGAAAATAGCCACCAGTCCAACTCGGGTCGCCCCCACTATTTCTTCGGTGAGGGGGGTAACGTTAAGGGGACACTAGTGGGTAGGGACTTACACTGGTAAGGGAAGGGATGGGTAGTCGCCCCCAGAGAAAAGCCTCTGGGGGGGTAGGCGAGCCCAGGCTTCAAGGGAGGGGTTCCGGGGACGGAGATGGGGGGGTGACGACGGGGGGGGGGCGGGAAGAATGGGAGAGTCACGCCCTGCTAGCAAGGGGAGCCTCCCTCAGGCCCCTGGGAGAAGGGGACTGAAGGGGACAGAATGTATGTGTTTCTGTGCTGCCCGGCAGGGGAGATCTGGGGGTCTAGGGATTTTCACACTAGATCAGGCACCAGTGGCCTGAGAAAGTCAGGTCGGGGCATAAGGTGGAGAGAGCCTAGGAAGAAAGGGAGAGCTAAACCCCTGGCCACAGCGCACGGATGATCTCCCTTCTTCAACCTCCCCCTTGAGGGGCTTCGGGGGTGGGGGGGCGTGGGGCTCTTGCAGCTCCTCGAATTGAGTACCTCCGCCTCTCCCGGGAGTCTAGCTTTTCGCCCGGCTTGCTGCAACCACCACTGCCTGCCTCTCCGGAATCCGCTGGGTTCTCTCAGCGATCCCCTCCTCCTCCCCCCTCCCCTCCCCTCCCAGTGTCACCGGGGCTGCTTGGCTCTGCCCCCTTGCCGCCGCTTGCTCCCTGCTTTCGTCCCTCCCTCTCGTGCTCGCTCCCTCCCTTCTCCTCCCCATTCTTGCCCCCCCCCTCGTAGGCGGCATTCTGGGAGTTGTAGTTGCGTGGTGCTCAGGCTGACGCCGCCCGTAAACTCAGCTAGACTCCACTTCCCGTCGAGCCCTGCGACCGGCACCCACTCCACCAGGCTTCGCTCTCACACACCGACACACACACACATCGCTCTCCCCCTCACTCTTTCGCTCGCCGCGGCTGCTGCCAGTGTGTGGCTCTGTCTCTCCTCCGCTTTGCTGAGCCCTCCCTTCTTCCTCTCAGTTCCTAGAGTCCGACCGCCGCCGCCGCCAGGAGAGAGGAGAAGGAGGTCGGTGGCGATAAGGGGCTGAGGGAGGCATCAGATCTGGGCGGTATGAGGCGGGTGACGGTTCTTAGGGGGTAAGAGGTAACCCGGGTGGCGGCCTGAGCCTCCCCGCGGAGCCGACCCAGGAACAGGTGCGTCTTTTTTTTCTCTCCCCCAATCCCTCCACCCCTTTTGACTCCCCGGCTTTTTTGTATTCCCCCACCCGCTTTTTTCTATCTTAAGCCTTGCCTCAACCCGGTCCCTTCTCCGCCCGGCGGCCGCAGTGCTTGCCCCCCAGGGGCGCCGTCCTCTTCGTGTCCCCGGACGTAGCGCTCCCTGGAGCTCGCTGTGTCCTCGCCCCTCCCTTCGGGACAGCTCCCCTCCACTTCCCACCTCCGTACCCCATCTCTGCCCTGCCCTACCCCCTCCTCGACCCCCTTCGGTCTTAGCCAGGTGAGACTAGTTCGCCACGATCCTGGAGAGTCTTCTTCCCGGCTGGGCGGGGGTCTCCATGGAAACGGGGGTCTGTAGATCCTGGGGGGGGGAAACCATAGGAATTACCCCACTCCTCCAAAAGGGAGGTGGAGACTGGTCTTGTTAACTACCTGGCCTCAACCCCTATACAAGGATCCGACGATCCGAAGGGAACCTGGCCAGCTGGGAAGGGCGAGAAAAGGCTTGTTTTCTTTTTTTGGGGGGGGGGGTTCCCGTGATGAAGTCTTGAAGAGACCGGGAGAAAATACCCTTCAACCTCAGAAGGGAGGTGCGACGGGTGCTCTTTCAAGTCTGCTTTCTACCCTGTGCTGGGTTGCGGGAACGGTGGGGTAAGGGGTACCCTAGGTGGCGGCGGGGCCTGGGTTCGGGAGTGGGAGTGCTGTGATGGGGGCAGGGGCAATTATCCGAGTCCCTGGAAAAAAGGCGGGGGATGACTTCGGAGCGCCCTAGCTCTGCTGCCCTCGCTCTAGGGGCGGGGGCCGCCGGGCCAGGCGCGGCGGGGTGGGGGCTTAAATTGAAGGAGGATGAGATGGGGGTAATTCACCCTAGCCCTAGCAAGCCAGGGGGGAGATCCGGCGTCGGAGCCCTCCACCCGCTTCGCGCCAGGCCTGGAGTCAAGGGGTCTGAGAGCGACAGCCAAGGGCTAGAAAGAGGGAGGCTCTGGTTACGGGGCCGGGTTTCGGGATCGGGGGCAATCCCCTAGCCCTTGGAGAAGGAGGGAGGGGGATGATCTCGAAGCCCAGAGCTTCCCCCAACCCAGGTTCTAAGGGGCGTGAGGAACGGACAGCAGGCCCAGCGGAACTGGATTCGAGAGGATTGAGGCCGGGGAGTGGGGGGGCTTAGTGGTGGGCTTCGGGGGGAGCAGTCCGGCGGCGGGCGGGCGGGCGGGGCGTGGGGCTCCGGCGGGCGGCGGGGCGGGGCCGAGGCGGCGCTGCTGCCGCCGCCGCTGCCGCCGCCGCTGCTGCTCCTGCTGGGGCCGCCGCAGCCGTTGCCGCCGCCGCCGCCGCCACTGCCGCTTCTGGGCGGGGAACGGAGGCCAAAGAGAGTCCCGTGCCGGGGCAGAGGGCGCAGGCGGCGCGCCTTGGGGAGGGGGCCGTCCTGGAGGCGGGGGCAGGCGGGGGGGGTGGAGCCCCCGACGGGGGGGCGGTACGAGCTGGGACGAAGGCGACGAGGCGCCCCGGGGGCCGGGTGCATGGAGGACGAGGTGCTGGGAGAAGGAGGTTGGGGGTGGGTCCCGCGACAAGCCTCGAGGCTCCTCGAGGTTCAGCTTCGGGACAGAGCCCTGCAGGGGCGCCCAGAGGCCCGAGAAGGGATAGGGAGGTGAACTGGACGGTGGAGGGGGCCCTCCTCGCTAGGGTCCCGCCGAGAGGAAGACTGGGCCAGAGGGACGTCCGGGGCAAGGCTGGGAGGAGCCGACCGCACCAAGGCTGGGGATTTCGCGTTATGGAGGTGCTGGAGATCGTTGTAGGCAAAGATGTGGTCGAGCGGAAAGGCGGGAGGGAAGCACACGGCAACCCAAGAGGCCACAGGCTGGTGGGGGTGCCTTTCTATTTGTCTCGAATCTTCCCCCTTCCCCAATAGAACCACTATGTTTTTGTTTTATTGTTATGAAATTTTCAGTGTTGACTGATTAAAACTGTTGACGTGGTGATACTTAACTCATTCTTGGTGTTTCCTACAGTAGACAGAAAGGACAGCGTCTTGGTGAGCATACGTCTAGCCCAGGATTTAGGGGCTCTTTGCATAAGTGTGGGAAGGGATCCTGGACTTCAGGGCCACAGCTGAATACTCAGAAGGCGATTTGGAGGTCAGCTCCAACTACAGAGGTGGAGCACATTTGCAGAAAGCTTTGGTGAGACTTCTAGGGGTGCACTTACAGGTTACACTAGTTAGCCCCATGACTCTTTCAAATTAGCAGACAGTTTTTCAAAATCACACTGCTGAAATGTTTTACAGGGAAATAACTGGGAAATGTATTTAGAGATGGAAAGGAATTAGGCTGATAATAAAAATTCCAAGGATGGAAGGAAACTTTAAAGGTCATCTAGTTCTCTGCTTATCTGGGTGCTTTATTATGGGGGAGATGGTAGGTTGCACCATGGAGGATGTTTGGGAAAGAGTTTAGGAAAGAGAAGTCAAGTGGTGACATCAGTATGTAGGAAAGAAATTTGGAAGATTCTATGGAGATTAAATGGAATAATCTTAATTTAATTCTGAGAATCATCCAGAGGCTCCAAATAGAAGTGAAAGGTTACGGAAACTGGTAAAATTTTGATGGAGATGCAAAGTTAGTAGGAAAGACTGGTGTGGAACTGTGGAGGAGCTGGAGGGAGCAGGGTTAAGAGTACCTGAAGGTTGATAATGCAATTTAGGAGAGACAGACAGGCCATCTTGAGAAAGTCAGGGATATTGATAGACAGGCGTCTCTTAATAGGGCACCTACCTTTGGGGTGGACTTTGGGGATAAGAGTCCTGGGCCTCGGTGCACAGAACCTTACTAAAATTGACTTTAAAAGGATTGACTCTATTACAAGCAAAGTAGATAGGATTCTTCTTTGGTTCTGACTTTCAGAAAGTGAGGACTGGCTGCCTCACTGAGGCAGGAAGGGGAAGGGATGCCAGTGTCTGGGCTATGGAGGACCAGTTCCTTAGGATAGGGCAATAAGGAAGGGCTGACTGATTTTTATGACAGGACAGATGAAAATAAGGCCCTGGCAAACTCTGCTCTTGGAATCTGGATTGGACAGAGTAGAGTTGGGTTCCAGAAGGCATAGTGGCCCTCCCAAGGACACTAATGTGGGTGTGGCTATTTTGACTTGCTGGGAAAAGGTAGGGAGAAAAAGAGGATCTCTTTCTTCTTCTTTTGCCTTGGTGATATTGGGCAGTTGAAGAGGGATAAAATGTTTAGTACAAGTAGCAGAGGATTTCATGATGTGTTTAGTCTGGATAATGGGCTTGAAGGAGGGGCTTCTTGGAGAGAAACAAAATCATGGGAGAAGACTTTAGCACTAGAAAAGAAGGGAGGCAAAAGGAAGTCAGAAAGAGGATTGGTTGGGCAGGGAAGGACAATCACTGGCAAAAGGAAGGTGGCAATCACTCATCTTGCGTTAGAGCCAGTAAAAGGGAAAAATGGCACCTTGAAATCTCCATGGTTTTGTCATAAAACTTTGAAGAACACTTAGAGCTCTTTACACTTGCTGCTAGAATCACTAAGGTTGGGGTAAGAGCAGAGATTTTGGGTAAAAGTAGGGTTGAGGAGAAACTGGCATTTAGGGAATAATATAAATGTGTTTACCATAAGGAAATAGAGAACTTAGAGATAGTGTACATATTACAAAATGTACAACATGAAAGAAAAAGGAATAGAGAGTCAAAGAGGAATACATTTACTCAGATGTCTTTTGGAGATGGTGTTGGGGAATGTAAAAACTCACCTGTGATACCCACTGCCCTGGGGAGGGCCCAGGGTAGTTGGGATCCAGGGCTTGTAAGTCTAAGCATTTCATTAGGAAATCTAGACTACAGAAAGATACCGGATGGGGGAAGGGATTCACTGTCCTAAATAGAATGGCCTTAAAAGAAGGAGAAAGTGGGAATACACCAGTTTTTCCAGTCTACAAGTGGGAGGAATTCTAGATACTGTACAAATAGGTAAGGGATAGAAATTCCAAAGTGAAATACGATAAAGAACTGGGCATGAAAGCCATGGGCCAGAACTGAAGGGTGGAGCAGGGGCACAGAGGACATGTTCTAATTAAGATTTGGTCTGGATGACACTTGCAGTGGTGCATAGATTCTAAGCTGAACTAAGTTTGGGATGGAGTAGAATAGCCAAAGGCAGTAGAGAGCTGTTTTCCAGGGCCAGTCAGCCTAAGAGTCTAACAAAGTAATGTTGTGGTTGGGTTTGGGTGGGAAAGTGTACACAAGAGGGGACTGGAGAACGTGTACAAGGAAAAGTGAAGATTGTTGGGATAAAATAGAAAAGAGAGGGCCAGGGCCTCGCAAGCAGGAGGTTATAAGTTCGATCCCCAGTACCGCCTTCCCCAAAAAAAAGTAGAAAAGAGAGGAAGCCAGTAATGATAATATGGGAGAGAAGGAAGAACCTAGACATTGGGTTCATAAGAAAGGAAATTTTTTTCTTTTTGTGGTACCAGGAATCCAACTCACAACCTCACATTTGCCATGCAGTTACTTATGCCTGCTGACCTAAACCCCTGGCCCAAAAGGAAATTTCTTAATGCTAGAGTTGAAAATCACTGAGTCCATGCTTACTAGAGTAGCATCAGACAACCAACGAGAGAAGAAATAAAGCAATCTACCTTTCTGCCACTAGGATGCTAGAGCAGTATTTTATATGACCTCACATATGAATTAGGCTTCATTAATGGCAGTTTTTGAATGATTGTTCTTAAAATAATGTAGAAACCTCCCTCTTTCTAAATCATGACCTTTTCCGCTATTCGTAACCTAAAACCAATCCAGGACAAAAACTTTTTTTGTGAACTAAAGTTTGCTTTCTGTTTCAAGAGGAATATTTAATTTTGTTTCTAGAGTTAATTCAAATAAATTGGTCTAGCTCCCTCCATTTTTGAAAGCAGAAGCCACTCTTTTCTCATAAAACATTTAGAAATGGATCATTTTTTTAAAAAGTAACTGCAGGATGCATGTCAAGGTCATATTTTCCTTGGCCAATGAATAATGATGACTTTGAAGAGAGATGACTTATTTGTAAAATGGGATTTTCAGATTTATCCATCAGAGTATCTGAGGCAGGATGTGTCTTCACTGGAATTTGAAGAAGACCCTAAGCTATGAGTCTGTGAGTACTAAGGAGCAGACAGAGTTTTGTGCTTTGTGCTTCTTTACCAACAGTCTGCTAAGAAATGAAATTTGGTTACCTCATTACTAAGGTATGCCTAGAAATCATAGTGTTAGTGCTATTTAAGGGTACAGTTGAACTTAAAGCTAATATTGGTGTGTGGGGACAAAAAAAAAAAAACCCAGCAGATTTTGTTTTTCTAATTTCTGTGAAATACCCAGTGCATGACTGTGATCCTGGGGAAAATGGATGTATTCTATACCAGAATCCATGAGATGATTAGGCATCTTCTTACAAAAATACTTTACTCAGTTTAATGTGGTGGTTCTCAGACTTTCGCCTGCATCTGAATTAACTTATGGCTTTGGTGACGCCTGTAAGTTGGAGTTCTTGCTCTTGACCTCCATAGCTGTTTGGCAGGAAGCAAGTCACTTAACTTTCTTGAGGCTTATTGTTCTCATCTATACAGTGCAGATTATAATACCAACTTCACAGGGCAGTAAGGATTATGAGAGACAAAGTAGATATAATGCCAACCACATAGCAAGTATCCATACATGAGATCTATTTTTTTCTTACTCACTGGCATCCTGTGACATTACCTTTTATGTTACACTATAGTAAACATATAGTGATGAGTTGGAAACTATCATTAGATCCTGAGCCCCATCCCCCACCTTATAGCTTACTTTCTATCTTCTTCTTCTTCTTCTTCTTTTTTTTTTTTTTTTTTTTTTTTTTTTTTGTCTTTTTCATTTTTATCAGTACCGGGGATCGAACTCACGACCGCCTGCTTGCAAGGCAGGTGCTTATGCCGCTGGGCTAAATCCCCAGCCCCACTATCTTCTTTTTCTATATCACTGTTGGATCAGTACACATTTAGAAATTACAGTGTGCTAATAAGAAATAGCTTGACTCATCTTTGAATCCACCTCTGAGGTAGAGTTGGGAGCTTTAACAGCTGGGCTGTGGCACTGCTCAGTTTTTCTAGGAAAGTACTAAAGAGTGTAAAACCAGTTGAAAGTAAGACATTTGGGGCTATAGGTGACTTTTTTTGAGACAGGGTCTCACTTTGTAGTGCAAGCTGGACTTGAGCTCATTTCGTAGTGTAAGCTGGCCTCAAACTTGGGGTGAGCTTCCAGTCTTGGCTTCCTGAGTACTGGAATTGCAGGTATGCATCACCATGCCCAGCTGGGTGACATTTAAAGAAAAAACTAAAACAAAAATACCTTGCTCTCTGAAAAGGGCTCTGCTGTGCTTTATTGTGACTGGTTGGGCTTTCCAGCTGTTTCCAAGATCTGGAAACTCTACAAAAGCTGGTAGATAGAGCAATGGTCTGGTATGGCTCTATGACAAGGATGTTCATCAGTGATGGGAAGGGAGAAACTGATGCCCCAAAGTGCTCTGGGTTCCCCAAACCAAACTTCTAAGCAGAGAAAACCAGTGGCCTACAAACTAGGTCTCCTCTCTGTAGCTAGCGTAAACTTTGGTGCCAACAGTCTCTCTGTTAGCTGTGCCAGTGTGAAGAAAACAGATGATAGGACAAATGAAAACTATAGATTGGTTGACAAATTAATAATTTCTGCTTGACTTTGGAAATATATTATTATTCTCTACCTGTCCCCCTCTCCAGCAGATTTACCTGCCTATTAATATTCTGTTGAGGCAAATACTAAAATGAGTTATTCCCTGAACACATATCTACTGACACTGACAGAAGACAGTTCATAAACTGGCTGGATTTAAAAATTAGCAGTGGCAAAAGTACACCAGGTAGTTAGAAGTTGATTTTATTACTTTTCCTGGTCCAGTCTTATTTACGTTTATTGTCTTTATCATGGAGATGAATAAAACAAGTGCCAGGTGTGTTGGTACACACCTGCAAATGCAGCA